TTTTCGATTGGTTTCAAATCCGGAGAATTTGCTGGCCACTTCATTTTTCGAGGTCCATCGAAGCCTGTTTCAAATATTCAGTAGTCTTGTGAGCAGCATGTGAGGGAGCATTATCTTGCATAAAAACAATGGCCCTTTACCTTTTCATCCATGGTTCAAGATGCTCCTTCATAAACGCTATGTATGCATCAGCAGTCAGTTTGACGCCATCTAGTACTCTCCATGGGATCACTAATGTCTTTCCAATAATACCACCCCAGATCATTATGCCTCCACCGCCTTGGTGGCGTCTCAAACGCTGATGGCGATTCTGTCCGTTCATTACCCAGCCTTTGTACCATCTATCTGGCCCATCAAGTGTTGCTCGAGTTTCGTCTGTGAACAAAACTTTAGAGAAGTCAATCTTCATATTGTCCTCGGCCCATTTCAATCCATTTTGAATGTGATTTCTCGTCAACGGAGGCTTCGATACAAGTTTGACTGTTGTTGCTATATCCCTCAGATACCGACACCGAGTACTTTTAGACAGCAGGATCCCCAGTGCGACTGAAAAGCTCTTGACTGGTAAGTCCAGGGTTCTTCGTGGCCTCTCGTTTAAGTCGTGACCTGAGACGACGTGAAATAACCCTCGGCTTGCCTTTATCTGCCCTTTTGCGTACTTGTGTAGGGTCGGTGGTGAACCTTTTCACTGTTTGATGACACCTCCCTATTATTTTAGAAATTTATAGGGTAGATTTACCTTTTGAGAGTTCTGAGTTGATAGTTTTCTTTTCAGCATCACTTAAACTGCTTTTACGGCCCATCTTTTCATTAAATTCTTACACTTTTCTAATAATTTGGCACGCTCAAATCACTGGCTCAAATCATATGGCGCCAGTTTGTTTACATTGCGCAGATCAGTAAGAAAATTTCAGTGATTGCGCAAGTCAGTGTAACCGATATTGTGTGAAAATTTTGTGTGAATTGATTGGACGGTTTATACTACACCTATTTGAAAGTATGTTCTAACATACACAACATAATCAGAAAATAAGAATAATTTAAATTCAACATTTCTAATATTAGATTACGGAGAATATTTTCCAACATTTTTAAGATTACTGAGTAATTGAAAATTATGTAAAAATTTGGTCAGTCATAATTTTCTTAAATTATGTTTTAACAGATAAAGTCACCGTAGAACAACAGTAAAGATGTTGACAGATTTTGTCATCACTTTTTAAGTGATCTACGAGTGACAAGTGACGGTGATAAGCGCCTTATCACCGTTACTTTAAATCCTTTTTTTTTTTTCGAATCAGATTAATTATACTTTATATCAGTTAGTATTCCTCAAATAAAGTTCCGGAAAAGTATAATTTGTTTTGTAAGATTTTTAAAACTGAGAATTAACTTTTGTTTATAAATGAGTCAAATATGGCCGATATTTATCGATTTATATTGAGTTTCTGAACGCAACAAAAAGTTGAGATTCCAATCAATATAAGTTCTATTTGAAATAAACCAGAGTATTTTGCTTACCGGAAATAGTAAAATTTAATCTTTTAGTTTTCAATTAAAGCTAAAATGAAATCTTCAAGAATGGTTTTTCATTTTTTTAAAATTCATTATAAAACTTAGGTATCGAAATTGATTTTAGGTACCTACGCTTATATAACGGGCAGGAAATGTTAAATATGGATTTGAACACCTGTTTTTTCGTAATATACGGAGGTTTGAAAATCCATATTTGTAATTCTAGACATATGTCACGCTCTATTCCTTTGCCAAATACACAACACTGGTGAACCATCGGTAAAATGGTTAATGATATTCTGATATCGCATTCGTAGTAGGAGTAGATTTCATTCTATATGAAATGAAAGAAGAACTGGTTAAACGAACGTCGAGTTTTCCTTATATCAAATCTTTTGACCATTAGCTTCAAAGAACAATACATACGAATAATGGATTCCAGTAATAGCAACGCGTATGCATCACGTGATTCCGTATCGTCCATTGATCAAATTTGTTTTAGGGTGATTGCCTGAACAGTCAAAAATCTACACTACTGCCTTAACCTAATTTGAAATCTACGATGTCGACATTCAGATATCAAAATGTTATTATTTGTGCCATAATTTCTAAGGAATACGGCCGGATAGATATGTGCAATAAAATCAAATGAAGATACAAAATTTTATTTATCTACAGGAAAATAATTCTCCGTTTATTTTATTAGTCACTCGTAAAGTACTGAACAAGAAAAGTCTGAAATTTTACTATAAATTTCTATGCGTTGCATTTGTATTAACTTAATGGTTCTACAAAGAAATAATCGGGAATATTTTATATTATTCAATTTCATTAACCCAATGGCAACCGGACAAGACTCAGAATGATCTGAGTTTGTCAGGAGTTGACGTAACTAAGCAAACGATTAATAATGAAATACGCAGAGACGGTATAAGAAACCACTCCTTCTGAAACGGCATAAAGATGACAGGTTGAAATTTGCGACAGAGCATAAAGATAAGGAAAATTCTTATTGGGAAAGAGTTCTTTGAACAGACGAGAGTAAAATTGGATTGTTCGATCGCAATTCCCTGAATCATGTATGGAGGAAAGACGGCGGAGCTTACGCACCCAAGAACGCCATACAAACTGTCAAATTTGGTGAGGGTAGTATCATGGTTTGGGGCTGCTTTTCGATGCGAAGTGTTGGCAAACTAACAATTATAGACAGTAGAATGAATACAGAAAAATATCAACAAATCCTAAACGAAAATTTATCGCTTTCTTAATTTACTATTTATTTTGAAGGGGAATTTTGATTTTTTAAAATATAAATAACGTTTTACGTGATGTAAACATTTATCCCTCAATGAATTTAATTAATAATAATTTGAAATTGAGTATATGCAAGGTACATTGAGAATTTAATTTGTGAAAGCAATTATGTTTAATGAGATCAATGTTGCCATTACCAAGGCACTCGCCAAGGTACTAACCTTTTCTGCTACTATTCAATGATTTCAGTTCCCAAAATAATTTCAGTTCCTTAGTAAATATATATCAGAATGTATGGGTTAACATCAAAATAACTTGATGACCAGTGCCTGCTGACTCATCTCTACTCTGATTTACCTCTCACAGGTCAATGGGGAAAAGACTGACTGATATCATTCAATACATGCAAAACTAAAATCGAAATATTTCATCACCACAGAGTAGATCCTAAACGCGTACTAATCCTGATGAGTGGACATGGGCTCTTTGCTTCGAACGCCTATTAGCTTACTTCCGACCTAAAAGAAAACCAGTATATTCGTGCCATTTCAAATGATACTTGTAGAATGGCGTGTTCCTTCAATCGTTTCATAAAATACCTAATTCCTATGTCCCATGATTTCTTTAAAAGAGTCAGATCAGACCAATGTCTGGGCTGATGTTGCCCAATCCTCACTGTCCAACCTCGAGACAGTTCAAAATTCCTCACGTGACCTTGCGGGTTATGAAGTATATATCGAACACAGAAAAAGTGGCCTAAAACAGTCTGATGGTTTTCTAAGGCATGAAACATATTAAGCATGCAGCGTTGATTTGTACTCACTGTTTATTTATATATATATATATATATATATATATATATATATATATATATATTTGCTCTTGATTTACATTGAGCTCTCTGGATTTTATCCTCCTTAAGTTTACCCATACGGATTACCTAGTGTTTCATAAACTATATATATATATATATATATAAGCTCTATTTCTGATGCTGCACATTCTTCCCGTAACAGTACATTTTGAACAATGAAAGTAAATCAGAATGCAGAAGAAAACTAGAATTAACGCTAACTTTAAGTTCAGTAAATATAAAAAGCCGAACATCAAAAAAAAAGAAGAAAATTTACTTCCAAGCGAAATGAAGTCTAAAGTTCACACCGAAAATGTCGTTCATTTGTAATAAGCTGAGATAAATTGTTTCTGAATGTTAGCCGAACATTAGCTACTTGTGACATCCTTGAAATATTTGAAATGCCTATCTCTAATACTGATCACCCTTCGCCCACCAGGAAAATTTGAACACACCAATGGAAGTAATAAAATCACAATGAAGGATAAAACAAAAAAAAAGGACTGACATTAAATTATAGCTAAATAAATATAAATGTGTTGAAGGTTAAAAAATAAAAGAAGGCCATTTATTTACAAGAGGGATGAAGCCTTGAATTCAAAGAAAATGTTCTTCTTCCTTAATACGTTGGGAAATTCTTCTTAAATGTTAACTGAACGTTAGTTGTTCGTGTAATGATTGAAAACTTTTTCACTTCCAACTAGGTCAGGTGAAACGAAAACACGTTTCAGTCGATGCTCATACAAAATACTTACATTTCAATGGGAAGTAAAGCGAAAATATGAGTTTACGTGGTAGTATTAAGAAAAGCTTCACTGATGAACTCTTCTTAATAATATTTGAGGTCATCTTTCTTCAGTCAGGTGAAGATATGAATATTGGGTAAATATTAATGTCAGTCTATGCAAGAGGCGATTGCATAATAAACTGTACATTGTATGTTTTTTTGTGTGTTTGATCGTGGGTGTCTATGTATGTTTGCATAAGTTGAATATATTATTATTTTTAGATATAAAATTCATTGAAATCTCTCATGTGGTAATGATTAATATAGACAGAAAATAAATTTCATAAAATTAAAAAAGTGGGGATGACAGATATAAAAACAAGGCTTTTACAAAGAAACATTACAAAAAATAATTTTATTCATGTGAACCTAGAATAAAAATGTATCAAAAATATTGTCTTTTCCTCTACTTTACATGAACGTCCAGTCGATCGTATAAAAAAAGAAACATTTCAAAAATAATTTTATTCATTTCTTCATATTTTCTGAAAGTCTCCTTAACATCGGACAATTATCTGATTTTTTGCAAGATAGATAGATAGATAGATAGATAGATAGATAGATAGATAGATAGATAGATAAAGTGAACATAGAATAAAGACAGTATCAAAAATATTCCCTTTACTTTACATGAAAATCCATCAGATCATATATCGAGTGCAAAAGAGAAGTTTAATACTGTCTGATATTTACAATGTGTCTGTCTCTGATACTGAACACTCTTCGCCAATAGAGTCATTAAATTTTTAACAACCTTTCAAATAAAAGCAATAATGTCATAACGAAGGAGAAAATAGAAAAGAGAATTAACTTTAAATAAAAGTTTAGTAAATATAAAACCGGTGAGCGACAAAAAATGAAAGAAGATAATTTACTTACAAGAGGAATGAAGTCATGTAATGAATTCCAAGAAAATGTCGTTCTTTCTTAATATATTGAGAAATTGTTCCTAATTATTAGCCGGAAGTTTGTTGCTGGTGCAATCCCCGAAATGTTTTAACATTTTGTTTTTCTTAGTATAAATGAGAACACCTCTCTGTTCAAGCTCGTAAAAACTACTTATTTTTAACATGAAGTCAAGTTGAAAAAGACTACGTAAACTTCACAGATGAATAACCTTTGATAATAATCGAGGTCACGTTTCTCAACTTCGATAGACATAACAATTCGTGGTAACTTTTAAAAATCAGTCCATTCAGAGGGAGAACATTTGATATTCTGAGTGTAGTGAGAAAATTTCTTTTCTTTATTATGTTGTATTTGTTGGTGTGTAAGTTTTCATAAGTAGGCTGGATATAGTTATTTATTTATAGGATTGAAGCCCATTAAAACCTTTTCTCCAGCATTGAGCAATATAGACAGAAAAATAAAATAGAATTTCAATTGTTGAGACGTGTTTAGTAAAATATACATAATTTAAATATAAGCGATGATTTCTTTTACATACGTAGATAAATTAAACAATAACAATTTTGTTCTTTTTTTTTCTGTAAATTTTAGGCGTCTGTCCGGATTGGGAAATTCTTCCGGTTCATTAACTTCATTTATATTTCCTTATAGATGTAAATCAGCCTGAAAATACCGAATTTTGCATTAACAATTTTTGAGAATAACAATGATATTTTCGGATACAATTCTTTCTATCGTAACTCGTAGCTGTGAAGTGGATTCATACCTTTCTCAATGGTATTCGCGCTTAAGTAAAATTTAATGGAAAACCCTAAAATGTATTTTAGTAAAATATCAAAGGGGAACGGATAAAATGTGCATAATTATAATTTAATTATGGCAGTGTGCTACTATTGTGCGAACTTTTAAGCTAGCTCCTGCGTTGGGCTAATTGAAACCCCGGAACAAAAATATAGGGACCTCTGACTCGGCTTAGAAAACAGCAATGATAATTTTGATGAAATAACATTGAAATCCAGAATTCCTTCTATGGAACTTCAAAACCTCTCTTTACCTATGATTCGGGCTAATTCCGGCCAAAAGACTAATTTGAGCAAAAAGTCCGATCTGGGTCGAAACTCAGTAAAATGTCAAAACAAATCGGATAAAATATACAGAATTAAAATACAATTATATCATTGTGCAAAAGTTTTAAACAATCTTTAAAATATGTTATTTATTTACAATTCATGAAAATACAATACAAAAATAAATAAATCCTAAACGATCATTCATTTAATTGTTTACATATATTCTCATCGGACTTATGCAATCTATACAGCCAGGCGATTCTGAGAGAACTAGATGTCCTACCAGGATTTATTATTGGCGGCCACAATCTTAACAATATAAGTTATGCAGACAACACAGTGTTGATAACAGACATAAAGAAAGCTACAAAACTCTTACATAATAATAATAATAATAATAATAATAATTATTATTTATTATTATTATTATTATTTCTGGATAGTTTTGCTAGCCCATGGGCCAAGAGGTTTCGAATTCATCTTTGTCCTTCTCCTATGCTGGTTATTAACCAAGGTCTAGTAGCCTAATATTTACCATATAACTGGGAAGATAAAAGACAGATTCATACTTTTCCTGAGGTTATTTGTGTTAAAGTAAATGTACCAAAAACTCAACTGGAATTAGAGCTAGGCTCACTGACTAACCCGTTTACATGTATAATAAATGTATTTTTAATAATATATATTTGACCGCAGTTTTTTTTTTCATTTCAGTCGGTTTTGTGATAGACTATGAAAAATTTATGTTTAATTTTAAAAATTATTTTCTCTTGCTTTCCTACAAGTTAACGGACTTGGCTTACAATATACGTGGAAATTATCCGGACGTCGGCGTGTGTGTGATTTTAAACATTATCGGACATTTCCACGTAAATCGGATTTAGTTTTGCAAACAAAACAAAAATGATTTATGGCTTTTCCATTACGACATTTGGTGTTCACAGCAACTAAGATAATATAAATTTTCATGATAAACAATTTAGTACACAAAGCCATAAAAATTCAACAATATGAAGGATGTAAGAGAACGTAAATTATATAAAAGTTAAAATATTTAAAAACGACAACAAATACTTAAAATAGTAAAAATGAAATATCTACGTACACTGGAATTGGTTTGTTAAATACATTCTATAATTAAAAAGAAACATATACTATATATTATTACACAAACGACCTTACATCTGGGAAAAGCTCTCTGCAAGCCAGCTAATCAACGCGCCATAACACCTTTTTTTGTACCATTTAAAATGCCATACATTATAGAGGGATAAAGCATGCATCAACACCCAGGAAGTACTTGACACCTTCTACTTTGTTTTATCTTAATTAAGATTAGACCAAATATGGTAGATTGCTGCCATTTCTGAGTTACAGTTTCACTTCCTGCTACCTTCTCTGCCATTCATATAACACACCTCATTCATCGTAACAATTTTAAGACTAAACTTCTACATTGAGCAGAACTTCAGATTTATATTAGGTGGAATCTTCTACGAATTAATTTCATGAATATATGTCACTAAACAGGGAGGTAACACATGAATTATCTTTAAACCATTACTCTTGTTTGTAACAAAACTTTAAATGTTTGCCCCGTCTTAATTAGTTTGAATTTTAAGAAAAAAAACTTTAAAAATATCTTATAGATAGTGTTGAAGAAGAGATGAATTGTGTTAGTCAGATATATTCGATGTCCGAAGAATTACGGCTCAGAATGAATTTAACTGCAGCATCAATACTTAATGCGAAATTCGGAATCCTTCTGAATCAGGGTAAAGTTCTCTCTCCCTGTTGTCACATGTGATTCTTTATCAATGTACGATTCGAATTCGAAGAAATAATGGGAGATTCATTCAGACTGGATTAAGACAAGATCAAAAAAAAAAAAATGAAATTTCCCAAATTTTCTGTTGTTTTGTTTTTTGTTATTTTTCTGTTACTTACACGTGTTTGTAACATTGAATACATACGCAAGCATGAATACACACACACATATGCACACAAACACACGAACATGTGCAATTTTACTGAAATGATATCAAAAACAAGAGATCTAAAATGTCCGTAAGAACATTATCAAAAACAATATATTGTCCGGAAAGACATTATCAAAAAAAAAGAAAAAAACATATTGTCCGGAATGACATTATCAAAAAAAAAAAAACATATTGTCCGGAAGTACATTATCAAAAAGCCCGTTTTCATACGAAGAAGTTGATGTTGCGTTTGCCGTGGGCGGACGAAATGTAACCAAACAAAATGGCGCATAGATGGTTGAATGAAACTACATAAAAATTATGTAAATATTGATTCTGAATTTCACTTGAAAAAAGAATGAAAAAATATGAGTCTCAGGAATATTCGTATTCCAAAAAAGAACTAGTTTTTAAATGGAATATAATTATATAATTATAAACTGTGAATTTATTACTTGTTAATGCAGTTCCATTACGTACTTGCTCAAAATAGTTAAACAGCTACTAGCAATTTCATGCATGAATTTTTCATGGCATCTGAATGAAAAAATCGCTAATCAGAGATAACTGCATTTGATTGTTGATTTGCTTGACTTTTTTATTGGGGGACCATTTTCCAACTATCTAAATTGTACAGAACTGTCAGATTTGTTTGTCAGAAAAGCAATTTGATTGTATTTTTATACAAAATTTCACAGGTTAATATATTATTGAAACATTGTTACATGCACTATACCATTAATGCTCGACTTAGAGATCCTTCTCGAATAAGCACCTTCCTTTCCTCAAGTAATTTAAGATAAGCACCTCTCCCGAATATGAACCACCAGTGCGTCTCATCGAATATATTTGAGAAAAGAAAGTGGGTTACTTACTTGAATATGGTAGTTGAAGGAGAAGTAAATTTAATGAAAAGATGTTTTCTTTAAAATTGTTAAATTAGCGCCGTGGGCGCTGAAAAAAGCATTTACGGTTATCTGTAAATTATTGTTAAAAATATCGTCAATAAATGGCATCAGTCATGTCAAAAGGTCAATAAATGAAGTCAAAAACGTCAATACATAAAAGCGCATATATAATGTGCGAAAATACATTTAACTTTCCATATATAAAATCCGTTGGTATTTTTCTTCTCAAGAAACAATTGAAATAATTTCAAATGTTTATTTAACAATATCGGAATATTAAACAAAGCATATTTGTTTTTTGTTGCAAATCTCTGATTTGACTTGCATTTTTTCCTTGGAAAATATCCTAAATAACATGGAGGTTTGGAATTTAGAGAAATGCTTCTCTGCCTATCAATATTCAGATTTATATAATTCAGTTCACTATTTGGGGTGCTGTACCCAATCTCTGAACTACCTTCAAAACATTCATAAATTTACGGTTTAGAGACACACTGAGATTATCCAATACACACACACACACACACACACATATATATATATATATATATATATATATATATATATATATATACATAAAAATTTTTGAAACATGGGTAGAACTGTGTAGGAAAAAACATATTTTAAATTTATTAATTAATTTATTATATATATATATATATATATATATATATATATATATATATATATATACGCTTACATAGGTGAAAAACTAGTGTGCTGTG